GAAGGAAGGAAGGAAGGAAGGAAGGAAGGAAGGAAGGAAGGAAGGAAGGAAGGAAGGAAGGAAGGAAGTCACTTCATTAAAAAAAAACACACAACACACTAACAACAAAAAACTTAGTAGCAAAGATGGGGAGACTTTATCGCCCATATTTTGGACACGTGAACAGGCGGAGCCGGTGCCTAGAGGAGGACATCGTGCTTGTAAAAACAGTCGTCGTTACGTGCCATCAAGTCAGCTATAACTCACAGGGTCCCTCTGCACGACAGCTCTGACTCTGTCCCGTCCTGTGCCGTCCTCACCATCTCTGCCACACTTGAGCCCACTGGTGTAGACACTGTCGATCTGTCTTGTTGACGGTATCCCTCTCCTTGTCAGACCCTCCACTTTTCTTAGCACGATGTCCTTTCTCAAGGATGGACTCCTAATAACATGCTCAAAGTGTGTGAGACAGAGTTTCACCATCCTTCCCTCTAAAGATCACCCTGTCTACACCCCCTCTAAGATTTGTCTATCCTCTTGACAGTCCATGAGGTAGTCAGTACTCCTCTCCAGCACCAAAACGTAAAGGCGTCTATTCTTCTGTCATCTTTATTCCTTGTCCAACTCGTAGATATATAGCAAGTAATTGAAAAGACCATGGTTGATCAGCCACACCTTAGTCTCTTAACAGGCATCCTTGCTCTTTAACACTTTGGAGAAGCCCCTGAGTGCAGACTTTCACAATGCAGCATGTCTCTTGATTTCCTTACTACTGGTACCACAGTTGTTGATTGTGGACCAAGTTTGATGAAATTATTCATAATTTCTATCTTTCCTCCATCTATTATGATGTTGCCTATTGGCCTAGAGGTGAGAATGTTTTCTTGATGTTGGGATATCATCCACATTGAAGGCTGTAGTCATTGCTCTTCTGCAGTAAGCGCGTCAGGTCCTCCTCACTTTTAGCAAGTAGAGGACCAGAAAAAAAGAGAATAACCTTCAATGAGATGGATTGATGCAGTGTCTGCGACAGTCATCCCAGACACAACATCTGTGAGGACAGCTCAGGACTGGGCACGATTTTGTTCAGTTTGGCGTAGAGACAATTTGCTGTGAAGTTGGACCAACTCAACCGCACCTAATAACAACATGCCTATTTGGTTATCTTTGCTACTGGGTACCATTCTTAAAGATAAATGAATTTCATTGTGTCATTAAATATTCATGTTTCTTTATGATCTAATATATCATTGTGGTTATGGGGAATTTTCTCCCCGAGTACAGAAAATACACCATCAATTTTGTTTAATAACTCAGCTTTTCAGTTCTGGGGCACTGTTCATCGGAGGCACTTGAGGACTCAGAAAGCTTCTAAGCCCACCCCAGAGTGACATCCTGGGATTTATGAAGGTCACAGTGCACAGGGATACTGAACATTAAAGACTTCAGTGCCATGCCTTTTATCACCCATCACACCGGAAGATACGGGACTCCAAGTTACATCGTCTTTGTTTTGTTGTTTCCTTTCAGCACGGAACAACAGGCTCCATAGAAAACCAGCCAGTATCCCTGGAAACAATTCATCAGCTTTTTCAAAAGAAATCCAATTTTATCTGGTCTGATGGGCTCATTGTTGTTTCTTAAGAGAAATGATGAAAACAGATCATATTGCAAAGAAACCCAGTTATTCTTGACTAATCTCTGTGAAAGCCATCATAAACTACTGTGCCCCTGTGGCCTTCCCTGATGCTGGGAGGCCCCTGCTGGAAGAGATGGTAGTTTTAGAACTGTGCCCAACTGGACTCTTGCAGATTCCTGGCTGCTCAGAGCTTTGTGGAATCACAAAAATCTAAGCTTCCCCCTCCCCCCCATACCTGGGTCATTTTAAAGTTTAAGAACCACTAAGCTACAAGTTAGGAACCTTGGGGACCTGGTGGGTAAGGAGTTGTGCTCACAACCCAGAGGCAGGCTGTTGGAATCCACCAGCTGCTCTGCTGGGGAACAAATGAGCAGTCTCCTCCCGTGTGATTTAGAGCCTATGAAAACCCACTGGAGGGTCAGTTTTGAGTCGGTTCTGACTCAGTGGCAATAGTTGAGCTATTTGAGTTAACACATCCAAAATACCTAAGATGAAGTCTTGGCATCCTTGCTTCGAGGGAGCATTCGATCTATAGTTCTTCAGAAAAGATTTCTCTTCTAGCAATCCATGATCTATACTTTTTTTTTTACCAATATTGCAATGCAAAGGCATCAGTTTGTCTTGGGTTTCCTTTATTCACTGTCTGGTTTTTACCTGCATATGTTGTTCTTCTTATTGTGTACTGTGGAGTCAAATAAGACTCCTAGTGACCCTGTGAATAGCCAGCCTGAATCCTGCCCTTTCCTGCATGATCCTCACCGTATATGACACACTTGATCTCATTGCTGAAGTCACTGTGTCGATCCATCTCCCCGGGGATCTTTCTCTCTCTCACTGACCCTCCAATTTCCAAGCATGATGTGTCTTTCCAAAGAATAGCCTTGCCTAGCTACATATCCAAAGAATGTGAGACGAAGCTTTGTCATCTTTGCTTCTGAGGAGCACTCTGGCTACACTTTTTCTAAAACATGTCTTTCTGTTTGTTGTTTTGGAAGCCCAGGAAATATCCAGTACTCTTCTCCAACACCAAAATGTAAATACATCCATTCTTCTGTCATCCTTATTCATTGTCCAGCCCTCTTATGCATAGCAGGTGATTGAGAAGACCATGGCCTGAATTAGGTGCACCTTAATCTTCAAACTGACATCATTGCTCTTCAGCATTTTAGAGTGACTTGTGGACTTTTGAGTAACAGTGGACTTGTTCAATGCAATACATCTTCTAATTTCTGAAGTGTTGATCTTCAGTAAGTGCTTGAAGTCCCTTTCAGTAAATGATGTCACCTGCACGTCCCAGGGGGTTTAAAAAGTCTTCCTCCAATCCTAACCATGAGTTTTTCTTCATCTACTCTAGCATCTTGGATCATTTGCTCAGTTTACTGATTGGATAAGAATGGTGAAAGGTTTCAGCTGACATACACAGTTCCTCATGTACCCATTGATTTTACTCCTTCCTGTGATTCCTTTTATGGGGGACCAACATGTTTACAGACACATCAGTGAATGAAGGAAGGAGGTGGTGTCTATCTCTCCTTCTTCCTTCTGTACCCTGCCTTTCTGTGTTCCGTTGACCTTCCTGAGGTAAATGTAAAATGAGGAGAAAATCCATGTGGACTGAGTCTCTGAAAGATGTGAAGTCTCCCTGGATCTGTGGAGATTTCTCATTGAGTGTCTCTCGAGGGCAGGGCCCATGCCTGTCCTGTTCACGACCTGTGTCCCAGGGCCCAGCACAGTGTCTGGGGGTCCTGAACTGTCGCCTGAGTAACTAATGTCGTGAGCTTGTATTAGCATCACCAGCATTAGGTGCTTGACCAGTGACCCTTGTCTCCCTCCCCAGGCAGTACTACGAGATGCTGTACAACACGGCCGACGAGCTCCTCAACCTGGTGGTGGACCAGGGCGTCAAGTACACGGAGCTGGAGTACATCCACGCGCTGACCCTGCTGCATCGCAGCCAGACGGGCGTCGGCGACCAGACCACCCAGAACACGCGGCTACAGCGGCTCAAGGAGATCATCTGTGAGCAGGCCGCCATCAAGCAGGCCACCAAGGACAAGAAGATAACGACCGTGTAGCAGGGACACCGCCGTGGGGGCCTCCTGGGGACTTCATCACACGCAAGGCTTCTTTGCAGTCTGCTTATATATCCTGAGCTGACTTCTGTTTAGTACAAAGAAGGTGTAAGGATTCCTCTCTCTTAGTGGCTTTGCTTAGCTCCCCTGCAGGAAGTCTGCAGCATGGCGTTTGTGGGTTTAACATCTACTGTGATGCAGCTGGTGCCAGAGGGGCGGGGTGGGGTGGAAGGTGTGTCAAGGTGGCGGACTCTGGACATGAGTCCATGAATTACTGCGCAGTGTTCTGTTCATTGTCCAGCGTACCCAGAGCTCCACCTCCAGACCACAGAGAACAGACTGCTCCTAAATGGTCCGTTCCTGAACCACTCCCCAGGGTCTCCTGCAGTCAGCAGTGGGATTTGTATGAACCTTACACTTTTAGAGTCCAGAGAATGCAGTGTAAGTGCATGCCTTGTTGTCTGTGATTGCAGGATTGAATAAAGGGTTTCTCAGCTGCCTGTGTTTTCTGGTGAATTTCCTTCCCCAAGGACACGGGGCTATTGGGGCAGGCTAGGCAGAGTGCTTGTACCCCAGTCTCCGACAGAGTGCTCTGTGCTCCGGCATGTACACAGGTGCGGGGGGTGGGGGACGTTATTGCCTCTTCATTTCACCTTTGCTGCATCCACACCGAGAGTCACCCGCCTGGTGATTGGTGGAGCCGTGAAGAGGGATTCCGCCCTCTGCCTGGTGGTTTCCTTTCTGCTGAGAGAAGGGGATTGCGGGAGCGGTTTCTTCTCACTGGAAGTATGCGTGCTCACTTTCCTCCTTGTCAGCCCCCCAGGATCATTGTCACCCCCCCCCCCCGCCGTCACTGTCACCTGAGAGAGTCATCCCCATGTGCTCAGCCCAGTCAGGTACAGATGAGCTGAGCCTGTGACGTTTTTCTTGCCTGCAGTGTCTGGTCCAGGCCGTTTCTCTCCAGCGGTGGTGCTCACTGCTCCTGTCGTGAATCACCACTCTGAGCCACCCCTGGTCCCCACATCCTCATATTGTCTGGAGTTGTAGAGGCAGCAAGGTGCTGACAGGGACCTGGAAGACGTGAAAGGTGAGGAGCTGAAGGGGCTTTAACTGCACATGGTGGCACCTTTTGCCTTGGTGACCCCTCACGCCTTCGTGGCCCCTCTCTCCTCGGTGACCCCTCTCCCCTCGGTGACCCCTCACGCCTCGGTGACTCTTCTCCCCTTGGTGTCCCCTCTCCCCTTGGTGGCCCTCTCCCCTTGGTGGCCCCTCACGCCTCAGTGACCCCTCTCCCCTCGGTGACCCCTCTCCCCTCAGTGTCCCCTCTCCCCTTGGTGGCTTCTCTCACCTTGGTGGCCCTCTCCTCGGTGACCACTCTCCCCTTGGTGACCCTCTCGCCTGGCGTCCCCTCTCTCCTCGGTGACCCCTCTCACCTTGGTGACCCCTCTCCCCTCGGTGCCCCCTCTCCCCTCGGTGACCCCTCTCCCCTCGGTGTCCCCTCTCCCCTCGGTGTCCCCTCTCCCCTTGGTGGCCCCTCTCTCCTTGGTGGCCCCTCTCCCCTTGGTGGCTTCTCTCACCTTGGTGGCCCTCTCCCCAGTGACCACTCTCCCCTTGGTGACCCTCTCGCCTGGCGTCCCCTCTCTCCTCGGTGACCCCTCTCACCTTGGAGACCCCTCTCCCCTCGATGACCCCTCTCCCCTCGGTGACCCCTCTCCCCTCGGTGACCCCTCTCCCCTCGGTGTCCCCTCTCCCCTCGGTGGCCCCTCTCCCCTCGGTGACCCCT